CGCCCGTCGTTACCAAGTGCACCGAGAACGGTGGTCAGGCGGTGTGCATAAATGCCGGTTTACGAGCCCTCGCGCCGTACTTTACTTTCATTGATTTCCCCTTCTGTTCCGGGCGGTGGTGCGAGAGCAGTAGCGTGATAACAGTGCACATCAGCGGAGGTGACAGCGGTGTGAAACGAAGGGAGCCGGAGGCTCGCGCAGGGGCTGACCGCCCGCACGGTGCTCGGTTTCGCGTGCGACACAGACAGGAGAGAGGAACCAAGTGACAGGCACATCGGGAAAATAGAGGAAAGGAGAGCGAAGAGAGATATAATAGAAAGTAACAGGTACCGGAAAATATATAATGTGTTGCTGTAAGTTCGGCGTTGAGACGAATGGCGGGCGGCAAGAGAGAGAGAGAGAGAGAAAGAAAGGAGAGAGCTAGCGCACCCGAAGGACCCCCGGGGGAGTGAATCGATTATTGCGAGATACGAGAGAAGGGGATAGTCGATTCGCGCCGATAAGGGCGAAAAGAAATAAGTGCGTCGCGTACTTGTCGTCTCTCGCGTTCCCGACGCGTCCAGGAAGCACGTGTCACCGTGCCTCTCGTCGCGTTTTACTTCCCGGCGAGAACCCCTGCGTTCTTGCGTGCGCAAATTCTCGCCACGTCGCGTTTCTTCCGCGACCGCGGTTTCTCTTTTTTTTTCGCGCTCCACTCTCTCCGCCTGCTCCTTTTTTTTTAACGCTGCGTTTACGTAGGACGTGCCGCGCGCGCGCGCGCACGCGTGTACTTTCGTACGCCGCGTATACGAGCCGCTTTTTCGCGCGCGCGAAGGGTCATACGCGCGGGAGGGGTCTCCCTCGGAAACATCGCGCAGGGGCGGCGATGCGACGGCAGGGAAGGGGGCTCTCACGGAGCGCCGGGCGAGCGAGCGAGCGAGCGAGCGAGCGAGCCGAGCAGGGGAGCGAGAGGCACACAGGGACCGAGGAGCCGCGCTCGTATTGATCGGCCCCGGCCACGCGATTTTCACGATCCGTCGCCATGGCCACCTGGCCACCGGCCGAAGATCGTATCTCGCGGCGTACGTGCAAATCGAACTTTAACCCGCGAGACCGCCCGCTGGCCAGGCTTAGTCGCGACGTGTCCCCACCTCGTCGGATCGTTTGATGATGACGCTCTCGATCAGTTTCTAGAGAATTTTTTTTTCGATTTTACCTTGGGCCTCGAAATTCACGATTCAATACTTCGCCTAGCGTGCACCATTTTTTTTTTAATTAACCGTAATTAACGATTATACAGTCGTATATTTTCATAATTGTTGAATTCAATTTTAATGATGTAATAATGTTAAAATAACAAACATTTAATTTTAGGCGTAATTTGAAGAGCGAATCGGTAGACGGGAGAGTTTTATAATAATCCAAATAATCTCAAGTATTGCTATTTTTCCGATCGAATAGAAAGACACTGCTAAATTGAAATAACAGGGTAGCATTTACCAGAATAAAGCGGTATTTCCGTTCTATCGATTTCGCCAGATCGATAGTCCCGGGCTGTTTCGAAATAACTCGCCGGGCATCCATCTGGATTTCCTTCGTATTTCAATTCAAAAATTATTTTTATAATTATGATTTTCTTCGTGTTAAGCGTGAACTTGGCGTGAACTTTGTAGAATCTGATAACATCAATACATCCCGTACGCGAGTGTATAATTTATAATTACATTTATAATAAGGCTAAAAGATTAAATGGAAACATTGGAACGTATAAAAATAGATCCGAATTTTATTTAGTCTATTTGATTTGTATGTCAGTAAATTATCACGAAAAATTAGTGAGATAAGATTATGTTAGAAAACGCGATCATTCTGCCGTTTAGTGAAATTTTTTTATTTCGCTAACTTTGACAGGACATACGAGATAGCATCACGTTACGTTCAAAGTTTCGTCGAGGGTCGCCCCCGTCCGATCTACTCCCCTCTTCACCATCCCCGCCACCCCTCGGCGTCATGCGTGCACGCGTCCGCCGTCATTGTCATCCGGGTGACGACAATGAGGCGAAGATCCAGAAGTCATAGCGAAGCGATGCGCGCCGCGCTTTCCCGATACGCGACAACGTAATCGGCTCGGCGACGCGGCGCAGCGCGGCGCAACGAACGGCACTCTCTCCCGCCTTCGGCATTGTCGGATCCGAAAATATATCGCGATGGCGAACAACGCCGCGCGCGGATCGATACCGAGGAAGATGCCGGGTTGCGATAAAGCGCACCGCGACTTTTCTGCCTCCTGCGAAGAGCGGCGCGGCGCGGCGCGGCGCGGCGGCGACGTTTTTATCGCCTCGCATTCGTAAACAAAGGGGACGCGAAAGTGCGATCGGCGGCCTCTCTCTCAATTCCGCGAATACGCGCTTTCCAGTCGTAGGTTCATCATCGTAAACACGGGAGAAAGATTTTTTTCGAAACTTCAATTCTTTTATCCGTATAATTACATCAGAATCTATACGTCCTATTTCGAATCTGTCTCGCTGTTCGAAGTCTGACCGTACCATCGTACGACCAGGCAATTTTGTTAATTATTTCCATAAACATTATTAAGTAACAATATTGGCAAGATTACTCTCCAATGATTTTACGTTTCGAAATCGAATTGTATTAAAATATTGCCGAGAATTTAAGGAATGTCTGTCATTGTTGTTTTTTTTTTTTCAACACATCGAATGCCGTTCCCGTTAAAAGCTTCGTTAAAAACGACGTAGGAAAAACATGTGCCGTTTGTCGCGCACACATGCTTCACTTCTCTTGTTTATTTTCGATAATTGTCAGTATGCGTTACTCTTTAAATGTAACTCGTTTCGATCTTGTATTCCCGTAAATTAAGGTGACACGTCCCGACCGCCACCGCTGCATTCGACGTACAACGTAAACAAGGGAATATTATTGTCCCGCGCAATTGCACATACATTTCCATGTACGACAGCCGGACGCACCGTATACGCACATGCATGTACCGTTCAGTCCGTTTCGGAAACTTAGGGCAGAGGGGAAGGGGGGGGGGGAAGAGAGCCGGCCGTAATAAAAGCTGTCTGTTACCCCGCGGCACCGCGGACAGCTCGGTTTTTAGGGTGGCGACCACCGCGGGGAAGACTGCCCTGAAGGACAGCTGATGCCCGAACGTACAGGAGGGAAAAAGGGAGCGAACGGACGCGCGTGTTACGGTGAGAGGGGAGAGCGTGCGTAAAAAAAGGGAGAGTGGGAGAGAATAAAAATGTACGAGAGCCGGTGGCTCGTGCCGACTGATAAACGCGTCTGTCGCAGCTGTGTGTGTACTCGCCTTAACCGTGAACACCGCGGTTGGCACCCTACGGTAGAGACGCCGCCACACGTAATTCCCCTTCCTCGCTCTGCCTCTGTCTCTCCCTCTTTCGCTCCTGTTTTCTCCCTTTGCGCCCTGGCGCGCGCGCCCGTGTACCGGGTGTTCCGCGCGAAAGAGTTCGCCGGATTATTCTCGCAATCGGTCTCGCATTCGGGGCATGAATTCGTTTCCTCCTGGCCGATTCCTGGTTGTCGATCGCACGTGCGTCGCATTCGACAATTTATCTCGTGGAGAATTTTGTCGAGCGTATTTGTCGATTAAAATGAAAAAGAAATAATCATAAAGATGTGTTTTACTAAACACAAATTTATATGTCGATGTTTTCTCGCTGATATAACTTTGCCATGAAATCGCAGCAGCGCTTTGTTTTTTTTAATTATGAATATAATTCCAAGTTAATTGCCTCTCTGCTTAGTTAACAAGATGTGAATTTGCTCGAATTTATAATTTATTCACGCTAGAGATGCAACGACTAATTTAGGAAGCGTTTCTTAGCGTTTATCTTTCGGTAAACAAAGAGATGCTGTTGAAGGAAATTAATAATCTTATTCGCCAATTTTCGCTACTGCGTCAACTAATTTGTTATAATAGTTAAGTCTCTAATTAAACTTTCATTATGAACAGCTCCTGATAATGGAGAGGATTACTATGAACAATGCTCTGTGTGTATTTTTCATGTTTTGGACACCATGTATGTAGGCTAGTTGATGTGCCTCTGTAGTTTTGAGAGATGAGAGGGTCTCCAGCCCTTTAAATGACAACGGGGGTCGTCGGCCCCTTTAAATTACCCGAGTTCGTATCGGACGTTACCCCAAAGTTTCTCCCAAACCGCTGCTAGTCCCTTTCGTGCTGCGTTTGAAAAGTCATTGTTCAGATTTACATGATCAAATCGCGAGTATTACATATGTAGTTTTTTTTTTCAGATTCTTTGTTTATAATATTAGCGGTTTTAAATCGATTTTTCTAGTCCAATACAAAGTGAATCTGTGATAAACAATTATTCGAATGAGAAATTCTCGAATAAAAAGCGTTCTTTAAATGATTGTACATTCCAATATAATTTATTTCCACATATCTTGTATACTTATTGTATTGTTAACTAATCATTTTTTATATCTTATATTTAATTATTATTTTCTAAAATTGTCAAGCCAAAATTAAAATTCGCATTGGTTTTGCTTTTATACAACAAAGCTGTTTTTCTTATACTTGTATACGTTTTTTCTCACCGAATTCACGGTATGGGCTGTAGAAAAACTCGAGGTCGCTTGAGTTTTCAAGCGTCAAGGAACGTTTTGTGCATCATTGTTTTGATTATCACGCGTTTTTACGTCCTTCGATATTTCGTGTTTACATCGCTGCCGTTTCTTCCATTGCCTTGCGACATAGCTTGTATTTGCTGTGTTTTTAGAGTGAAACTTCCCGACGTATATTTTAACGTCTTAAGGAAAATATGCAGACTCAGCGCGGTACCACAATTATCCGAGAATCCTGCACTATATTGAATTTATGTCTTACATTATATGGAATATCAATGAAATTTTTAATACAAACGAGCCGTTAATTGTTAACTGTGTAATTACAATTATTTATCTCGGTGATGTCTGGATCACGGTGTAATGTAATGTGTTATGTATTCTGTTTGCAGATTTCGTACATAGTTAGGGACGACTCATTAGAGGATTGCAATGATGGCGAACGGAATGGACACAGTTGTACAACAAAACGGAGGATCCACTCTCGGACAGACCTCGCAGGAAGAGTCGAAGACGAATCTCATAGTAAACTATTTGCCGCAAAGTATGACACAGGATGAGATTCGTTCTCTGTTCTCCAGTATAGGCGAGGTCGAGAGCTGCAAGCTAATCCGTGATAAGCTCAGCGGTAAGTTCAGCATTTCTATTGCGTCCTTTCTTTCCGCTAAGCCATTTAAATCCGAGTGAAAAAAATATTAAACGAGCCGTCTGTTTTAATGATGCCATAATGACACTATCAGAAGGCGTGGTTTTAACGACGTTGTCAATGACGTTTTTCGAAATATTATGAAGCGCAATGCATCGATATTAGTAACATTAGTGAAATTTTGACAGTTGAGTTCGCATCATCTCTTAAAAATAATAACTGATTGAAAAATAATAATCCTTTTGTTATCACGATTTTATCAAACGCTTTTTCTCTTTTGCTTTATTCAGATAATTTGTGGTTGATTATAAGCAGATATTACATTTTTCATAATTTTTTTTTAATAATTGAAAAATAATTTTGCAGAAAATTTATTAGAAAATTGAACTGTTTTTGAAAAGTCTGCAGAAATATCCTTTTTTATTATAAATATAAACCTTTCAGAATCAACAAACTGATCAATTCCAATTTTTGTCGATTTTCTAATTTTACTATCAAAACGATTGATTTTAATTTTAACTTTGTCAATTTTCTTTACTTTTTTTTATTTCACGGAATTGATCAATTTGATTTATAAGCGGTTCAAGTGATTTTTATTTTGCTGAAAATCAGCATTTTGCTTATATGTATAACCATTTATATATCCATAAGTTTCCGACTGATCACGGCATTTTGCGCAACTCGTCCGTATATCGCCATAATATATCGAGTACGTGTAATCTAGCGTAATTCGGGTACGTGTGTGTTCGGATATATTCCGTGCAGTGACGGCCAGTGACGGCGAGACGAGCACGTGTATAGACGTCGCGGCGCTATTTCAAGCCGTCGCGGAGCGGGGGCGGCGTTCGGTTTGAAGATTTGCCGCTTTATGCTCGATCTCACCGCCGCGCCGCAGAGAGTGACAGTATCGTACGACATCGTTCGTCACCACGCGCGATAAGCGCATCATTACGTTTAGGGAGCAATTTTTCTCTCATTCCGCTAAAAAATCTGCACCTCTTTCTCGCGATTCCTTTCTGTTCAGAATAACATTAGATAAACGCGCGCCCACAAGGAGCGTCTTAAATTTATTTAATGTAACAGAAGAGAAACTTTTCTAGATTTAATTGAGGTTTTAATTTTTTCGAAAATTGACAATTGATTAAAATGATCCTTGATCTCATGAAATTCACTTCTGCTGTTTTAGCGTTAAGACGTTCGAAAGTCACGAAAGTCTGATATCATTTTCTCGGTAAAGTTGAAAAATAATTCAACTATGTCCTTGTGCGGTCTCGCTGCTGCAGGCATTTCGCCAGCTACTCGTTGATATATTTGTCACTACGCCATTCATAAAATTGATTCCAGAGCGTATGGGGGGAAATTAAAGTTGGCATTGCACGGTTCAATCACCATTTCGATGCGATTATCCTAATCGGTGGACATAAACAGACGTTCAGATATAAGCAAAACTCATCGCGGTAGCGTCGAAAAACATTTATTCGCATCAAAAGTAAAAGTCACCAAAATGTCAGCGATGAGACGTATATTGGCCACTTCTTTATCGCAAGCTGCATACTACGATGTGGCTCACGATCGATCTATTTTTTTTTTATTTTAAGATAAATCTGACATCGTGACGTTTATCGGATCTGCGTCTCTGCTTGCAGGTCAGAGTTTGGGTTATGGTTTCGTCAACTATCACCGGCCTGAAGATGCCGAAAAGGCTATAAACACGCTCAATGGTCTTCGTTTACAGAACAAAACCATCAAGGTGAGTAACTTGTAATGCAGTTCTTGCGTAATAGGCGTATACCCTTTTCTTGTTCATCTGTTCTCTTTGAATCCGTAATAACGCCTTTATATCTGTATAACGTCTTTTATTCCGTAATAACACGATTACTGCTAAATTCTATTTTCTACAATTAACCAAAGATTTTTTTGAGAAATCGTAAATCATCGTTATTTTTTGTGATCTACACAGAAGAGATATCGAGATTAAAAATATTAATTGTTAAGATTGGTACAACGTCATCGATATTCGAAATCGATAGTCTATTTTTGCCAGTCGGCTATACTTTGCAGAGCATTTCCATCCCGATTTCTAGAATGCTAAATGCATCTACGCGAGCGTGTAGGGCGGTAATGTAGCAATATAAATAGGTTGGCCTGGATTCGGGCGGATTTTATCGCGCGCGAACAAGAATAAAGCGATGATTATCGCGTGGGCACGTTTTTTCTTCTTTTTTTTTTTTTATTTCCATTCGATAAAACATCAAGCACCTCGGCGACGTTGATCTCGTGTCGTTTTTGTTCGGATAATCTGACGAACATTTGTCGGGATTGCAAAGAGAATATTGTTTTGGAACGCAATTTCTTTTTTCTTTTTCCAGGTGTCGTACGCGAGACCGAGCAGCGAGGCGATCAAAGGCGCGAATTTGTACGTCAGCGGCTTGCCGAAAAATATGGCGCAGCAGGATCTGGAGAATCTCTTTAGTCCCTACGGCAGAATTATTACGTCGCGGATACTGTGCGACAACATCACCGGTAAGTCTACGTACGCCTGTCCGTAGTATTTTCGTGACTGCTTTCCGCGGTGAATCATCCGTCTCACGATTGATAATATTTCCGACCGAAATAAAATTTCCGATCGCACGTCAATTTTTTCGACAACGCTGAGATGAACTACAAACAACGAGATTCCAACAAAATCGTTACGGATGTCGTTTGAAATGTATTTCCTCGGTGCGGTTTCTTCCAGCCGACTTATCACATACATCCGATTTATATCTGAACTCTGTTTCTATCTCCGCGCTGATACGAACCTTCGCAATATGACGAAATATCGATGTGCGAGAAAACTATATTTTAAGACAGCGACAAAATCGGAAATCTCCGGTGGTCTTTAAATAAAACTTGATCCAGATCACAGGTGCGTAGGCCATGGGGTTAGAGTCCGTGTTGTAGGGTGGGTCGGTGTGCGCCATAAACGATAACGACAACGAAAGTGCGAGTAAGAGTAGCTCGTTGAAAGCGATAACGATAAATAATTCTGTTGAGCGAACGAGATCGTATCAGTTTCACTTTGTTATGTTTTCTTTCGCCTGTACACACTCTTCCACACGTTTCCTCATTCGGAGAGCACGAAGAGCAAACCGATTTCACCGAGTAATACGGCTTTGCATATAATATGCACGCAACTTCGTTCTCGAGGGAGCTACATATATACCGACAACGAGTACGATGACAGCTCGAAGTGTCGCGCAAGTGTGTCTCTCGCTTTTAGTCGACTAGACGAACCTTCCCGAGTTGGATTTCGTTTGCGTCTTTGGTTTATTTATTGCAAATGCTCCTCCCTGGCCAGCTCAGTTGCACGCACAAAAGCCTCATGGCCTCCACCTCGATCTTAATTTCGTGCTTCCTTTACCGTGCTCACTTTTCACTATCCCATCCTCCACATTCCGACACACACTCGTAGCACACCCGAGACTTACGTTTGTCCCACCAATGTCGCTTTCTCCTTACCTCCCGCAAAAAAGTGAACACGCGCGATACGCCGAATTTTTCCACTTTTGGCGCTCACGCTTTTTATATGATTAAGGAGATCTGAAAATAGCGTAATTTTTACACGAAGTCCGCTCGCCCCTTGTATACGTGCTCGTCCCATTTAATTTATTTTGTTTGAACCGATGTTACTTCCTCGTTGTCGTGCGAAACATTAAATGCGAAAGCAACGAATACCTATCCAGCAATGATCACTAAAAAATTTATTAAATCATTGAATAATGCAGTTGAAAATAAAAAATTTGTTTATTTTATTAACGATTTAATATAGTTTCTTATAATTTTTTAGACCTTTTTAGTTTTACAGTTATGAGTGTGTAGTATGTATAATATAATATTTTTTTATATTATTTGCATTAATTATTATTATTGTGCAAGAAAATGATTGAACCATTAAATGCAAACTAGTCAGATCAGATTCTTGCTTCCCACAGATTGTTGAAATAATTAAATAGTTTCGAATTATCTTGCTTATGAGTCGTTATGTAAATAATATTGAATATCTCAATTTATCACGTTAAAGTCGTGAATGTTTTTTTTAAATTTTTTATTAAATTAAACGCTGACGAACATGAGACTCGTTGCTTTTACTGTGTGCTTCTGTTGCGTTTTTTTCGTTAACCCCTTCACTCCGTCTTATCGCGCAAACACGTTTTATCATCCCCCGAAACCGCCGACGTATCACAGGGGCGAGCGAATCGCGTGTGCTGCCAGTTGGATTTTAACGAGATATGATTTTTTCCGTTTCTGTTTAGTACGACAGTTTGTGACCGGCGGCGGAGACAATTTGCCCGGTACGTAAATCACAAATCTCTTTTTCTTTTCCCTCATTATATCCTCTAGCTGAAACGAAATGAAAGCAGCCGTTTCTTTCGATCTGTGATGCGCGCGCGTCTCTCGTCTGCGCAACCTCGGGAGGTTTTTTTTTTTTCACGTGTAGCCATGTATACCACCTCAATGTCGTCGCCGTCGTTGTTAAATAAAACAACGCAGCGGTATAGTACGAACATCGGTTTTCCCCGCGGTGTAATCGAGCGTCGCGCTCGGAATCGAAAATCGATTTATAATCGCACCAAGTAAACGTATCGCCTTCGATAAGACCCCGTTCATGTCTGCTTGCTAACGGCGACGTTTTGCCAAAATCAATTTGCAACTCCCGCGAGCGGCGACGCGTTTCAACGAAAAATCTTTGAAAATTGTACGTTATGCGATGTACACACGTGTATATTACTAAATCTAGCTTCACGAAATTGGCGCGGGAGATTGAAAAAGTTAGTAAAATATTAAATATTTCGCGAAACGTTCCCGCGCATCTTTTATGCGCCTTGACTGCGACTCGGCGAAATTTAAAATTGATACAAAATTTTAGGACGACCGAATTTCGAATTTAAGATGAGAAGACGAGAAAAAATTGCATCTCTGTCTTCATCGTGCAATGACAGATGATGCGCGCATCCAATTGTTCCCTCCGAGCGCCATTTTTGTTTCTTTACGCTTTTTGTCATTCGTTATGGTTATGATTTGCTATTACGATCTCTCGATTATGTCGACATGTATTCGCGATCGAAAATATACTCGCTCTATCTCTCTCTCTCTTTCTCTCTATCACTTTTCTTTATCTCTCATTTTCTCACTCTTTTACTCTTTTTTTTTCGTTCCTGTCTACCCGTTATCGATCGACACTAGACCGCGAATATGATGAATAGATCTACGGCAGAGTAGAGAATCGAAAGAAAGACAAAAAGACATATCCACCCGACACATAGCATTGTCGAGGTGTGTTTGTAAAGAAACGAATTTGCGCGCACCGAACCACTCGCTTGTGTCTCTTATGTGTGTAAAAGAGATTCTCTAAAGTATATATAAAATGAGCTTAGCGTTTCTCGAGTCCACGTGTACTCAAGTCGTATCTTTCCGTCGTTGCGAGAAATGAGCGACTTTACATTCGCAACTTGTCGTTGCTCTCGATAATAGCTGTGATTGCAATATGTGAAACGTAAATTGTTCTGCATGCATTCTGTTAATCTATAAGCAACGGAGTGACAACTTGACGCATTATCAGGATCGTTAAATGGCCGAGAAAGCTAGCTAAAGGCTCATTAATTAATGATATCGCGTAATAAGGAGGCATAAGCGTACAATAAGACGATGTCGCGGGAAGAACGCGTAGGTAACGATCGCGGTTATACAATCGAAAAGTCCTTCAAATCGATTTGGAGCCGTCGTTTTCGCCCCTTTCGCAACGTTGCTCGTTAAGATAAGAAAGAAACAGAAAAGAAAAGTACGGAAATCCTCGGAGATCGGTCCGGGGAAGCGTCCGGCGTGATTTCCGGCGAAACGTTTGCGGTCGCGCGTCGGCAGCAATAACCAGATGCGATCTTGTGTGTTCCGCCGATTACCTCGGCACCTCTCGACAGGCCTGTCGAAGGGCGTCGGCTTCATAAGGTTCGACCAGCGCGTCGAGGCCGAGCGGGCGATCCAAGAGCTGAACGGCACCATACCGAAGGGCTCGTCCGAGCCGATCACCGTCAAGTTCGCCAACAATCCCAGCAACAACAACAAGGCGATACCGCCGTTGGCCGCCTATCTCGCACCACAGGCCACACGGCGCTTCGGCGGGCCGATCCACCATCCGACCGGCCGCTTCAGGTACATTCCACTGTCGCCACTATCCAGGTACCTACTCGCCTCTACTCGCTCTACCCAAGGATTTTCACTATTTCTCTAACTTCTATCTCTCTTCGTCTCTGCTCTGTCTCTTTCTCTCTCTTTCCGCTTCATTCTGTCCTCACGGCTTTTTTCGTTGAGACACTTCCGTTGAGGGGAGTGTTGCGCGGAACGATTTGTCGCGGTTGTCACCGTGGCGGCGTCCATGTTCCCTGGATATGCTCTAGCACGGACGTGCGCGAATTAAACATCGGCGACTGATCGGCCACGCATCATTTTCCCACTTTTCTTCCTTCTCACTTGTTTCTTCAACGATTAATTTTTCTGATAATTTTTTAGCTGCTATAAATTAAGTTTCCTTTACTGAGTTATTTATTTATAATATTTATTCGTGGATCTCTCCTTATTCGTCCACTTATTTGCCCAATTATTTTATTTTTTATTTTTCTATTTAAAACTATCTCTCTCTAACTATCTAGCATATACTCTATTCGTCTTCTTCCACTTTCTCTCTTTTGACACACACATTCACACACACATACACACACAGACACCGCGCAAACACAAATTACTCGATTAGATCGATCGATCGTTCATATATAAACACAAGACTTTGCTATTCTAATGGTATCTTAATATTATAAAACAGTATAGTTTTTTATTTTTAATTCAACGAGGAAAATAACTTTTTTCTTACAGAAAATGTATGACACTGTGCAATATTGTGCTTCGTTATTGCGGCTTGAAAATTCTCAGTTTAAAAAGAATGAGAAAATATTTTATAGAAAATACTGATAATAATTAGTATATTAAACATACTAATAAAATAAAAATGTGTTAAATTGATTGTAATAATAGAAGTCTTCGTTATTTTATTAATGGCATCGCTGTTTGGTCGCTTATATGATAAACCAAATATATATTTGTTATTATTTATGTCGATTGATCGATCAGTCGATTGCAGACAGTTATCGTTACCTCCACATTTGATCAAGTTGTTCGGCACAGAGCTCCTCCTACATCACATCCGATTCTAATTCAAACTATGTATGCACTAACGTGTCTGTCTTTTATTTTAAATTGTGATTGTGCACGCTCTGTTACTTTCGGGTATCATGGCTTAGACCTTTGTGTTACTTACACGGTAATTTTTAGATACGGTATTTTTCATATCACTCACTTAGTTACAATAAGGGAACGGTCAACGACGACGTTTAAATGAGAGACTAATTTCGTCAGTTTTTGATATACTTCATCATGATTACTCGTCACTTGAAAAAATATAGATACGTGTTACTTTTCATCTTCAATCAATTACAACGTTAACGCGAGCGAACGAAAGGTCGCGGAAAGACATAGCGTTCCGGAGCGCAAACAATTCACGGAGAATTCGCGGTACCTCTGTTTAGAAAGGTCTTTCCGTCTCGCAATCGATACGGCTCTATTAAACTTGCATATCGACGAAACAACCTGTCAAGGTCGATCGGAAGGCTCCATGACCTTACGAAATAATAGATCTATGTTCGATAACACATCCATGTAATTTCGCGCATAACGAAAAGAAAAAGAGAAACGTCGACTGGCCCTCCTTTATTTGCACTCATCGTTGTGTTTTCTTTCATTGTTTACATGGACTCTCGATTTTTATGCTACTTTTCCTTCTCCCCCTTTTGGTTTCTCACTTTCTTCAAGGCCAGCGATCAGTAGATAGTCTCGTGAGACGTACATACATAATCTAATACTATGGCTCGGTCAGACGCAGAGAGGCGAGATAACGCATAAGTTTGATTTGAAAACGTAAGCTGATCTTTGGCCATTCTCGAAACACGGAGGAGCAAAAAAAACGTACACAATAGCCTTACATTCAATCGGTATCTGTCGTCACGTTTGCAATATTTTATTTTGACAAATTATTGGATGTGTTACATATATAATATGAAATTGTTATTTATACATATAAAAATCTTTATAATCTTTCAGACGCCTGACGACAAATATCAGTTACAGAATTAAGGACTATCAATTACTCACTCAATTTATCATCTCTCTTTCGTTTCGAGCCTCCCATATAATAATGCATAAGTCACGATGCTCGCTATCGCATACGTATATTCATGAATTTTCGCTCGAAAGTACGAAGGGGACGATACACGCATTATACATCTTCTATTGATCGCACGTGTCAGAGTCTGTTCGTATGTCTAGATTCGAGATACAGAGCATACCGAAAATTCTCTATTTGAAACTCTCGTCACAGATATCGATCGTTTGTTTTCAATAGAAAAGTACAAAGCGCTAATCGAGTGCAGCTGCGCTTTGCTGTCGCTTTGTCTCTTATTATTTCATTTTCTCTTCTGACAGAGTGGAAGAATATATAGCTTGCGTAGCAGTTAATCGGACTGAATGTTAAACAAAATTTGAAACGACGAAACTCAATTAATGATTTTAAATTTGAGTAGACTGAGTAGAGTAATCAGCCCTTTTCCTAAAAATGTTTGCAATATTTACAACAAAATGCGTAATTTCAAATGCGTAATTGTATAGATTATACTTAAAACAATACTTTTCCTTTTTTCTTAACAATCTCTGATATTCGAATTTTGATATATTTTTTTTTTAATTAGCAAATGTAACTAAAAGAAGTTGTAAACTGCTTGAAAATTTTCACGATGTCGAGTTTATCATGTTATTCGTCGTCGTTTGGAAAATACGGCCATAGTCTGACCTAAACAGCACTTAGTTATTGTGACAATAATTCCTTGGCTTCCTCTCCTAACAGAGAATCGAATTGGTCTTATGAAAGATGAAATTGATGCCGATTATTCACTCTAGAAAATTAATCTTCTAAATTTTTATGTCTGCATGTTATCTAAATAAATTATTTTCTTCTAATCTAACATAAATATTATTTTAATTGTGGTTAATTGTATTAAATTATGGAAATAACAGTTTATCGTTTTGTTGATAAAATTGCACATTACATCTTTTGATCGCAATTTTTAATGTCATAATGACAAATTTATCATTTCGCTTCTCTGAGTCCCGCATTGCATTCCCCATTGCGTCCCGTCCGGGGTAACAGTGCACCGCTACGTAGAGGGTAGAAAATGAAATACACAGGGAGCGCCCGACTTATCCCTCGACTTTTTGGCTCGATCCCGGAGTATCTCTCTTCTTACGTTGTTCTTTTTGTGTTTTGTTTTAGCACTGGCAAGGCCATGCTTGCCATTAACAAAGGCTTACAGAGGTCAGTATTTTTTTCGTTACTACCGCTACGTTTTCCACTCCTAATTTTCGTTACTTCCGTTGTGTGGCTTTATTCTTTTTCTCTCTTTCTCTGTCTCTTTCTTACTTTTTTCCTTTCTTCGACTCGTTACGAATTCGTTATCGCGAAATGATTTATCATTAAAGCAACTTTGAAGTAATGAACGTTATTAGTTATTTATAATTTTTTAAATAATCTTTGTCCGTGAATGTTCTTACGCGAACACCTTTTTCAAGATGTAAAATTTTTACCGCCGATTTTCTTTTATATAAGCGTAATTTCGTAACGGGATCCCACTATTCTTTCACATTTTTCACCATTTTTGCATTTTTCACGTCTTTTTGCTTCGACTTTCATTTGATTCAGTTGTACAAACACAGTGGTAGATATGTTGACGTCACGTTTTCTTGAGTTTCGCAACCAAGCCTCCTTGGTTCCCCATTCTTCCACTTGTTTACATAGTGCGATCTGTTCATTTAATAACGATTGAACCGCCGCAGTATTTGCCACCGTAGTATTTGCAACGATTGCAGTTTATAGAATTTTTTTGGAGTTTTGTTCTTATTACGCAATTTACGTAATAGAAACAGCTTTTTTGAAAAGGAAAAGACATAATTACATAGTCTCGAATTGATATTTCCCTTTAATGATAATGTATAGATTTGAGATTTATATTACATTTCACTGCAATATATTAGAGAAAATTTGGAAACCCTGGATATTTTTTGTTATATATTTCATCGTATTCTCTGTAAACTAAAGTTGCATACAAAAATCTGCCCTCGAGGGTACTTATTCTAAAACCCTACGAACTATTGAAAAGAAATCGAGTGCAGATACTCTCGTGTATATATATGTACATATGTTTGATAAACATTGAGACGAATTTACATGCAAGCAACGTGATGTTACTCCTTTCATTTCCTTGTCCTTATAGATTCCATCGTGTTTTTTTCTTTTTTTTTTTCGTACGGTCCTCCATTCACTACATACATATACATACATACATACATATACACACACGGGGAATCGAATCACTGGCGGTCGTATAACCCGATGCACATGTCTCTGCATACACATGTAAAAAAAAAGAAATATACACAACACGTATCACACGTTTACTTTACGCGGTGTAACGTACAACGTACGTGACGAATGCATACGTAAATTACTGTGGCCTCGGCATTATACTGAGTACTCACCGAGATGTGCCCTGTTTTAACGCGGCTTGTGACGTCAAGTAGGTACGTAGATACTTTTACAACTGTAAATATCCCCCCCTCTCACTTGTATAAGTGCCCTCGTATGGGACGTGTACCTTCCATTCCTGTACTCTGAAATCTTATCTGTCTTGTTAAAAAAAAAAAATTTTTTGTCGCACATTTAAGAGTTAACGTTAACGTCTCTATCATAGAGAGCGCCATCCGAGGAGATTGGCTTGCGTTTCAAGAAACACGTACCTATGCGATCCCCTGTGCACGTGAATGCATGAATGTTAAAGCAATAATGCACCTTTGTTCCCAATCTCGCTTTTTCTCTGAATATATTACGTTATATCCTTATAAAGAATGCATGACTCGAAGGAAAGGTTTCATTTACGTTTGATTGAGGAATCGATATCCGGATAACGCGTATTTGTAAAAAATTTTCTCTGTATAAAATATGAACAAGTGTCATTGCGACTCATGTGATAACGCCATTTTTTCTTTCTCTTTTTACTTTTATTTATCTTATAATTTATAATTCTGACCGAGCATTATTATTTATCAACCCTCTTAATATATGTACTCTTCTTACTTTCTTTTTATTATCTCAAAATTTACTACATAAATACACAAATTTGTGTACGATTCTTCAATATTCTTTAATTATTATCTACAGGATGTAAAGTCAAAAATATGAATATTGTTGAAACCATCCGGAGTAAAACGGAGTAAACGCCACTTCGACACAACCTGTATTCGAAATTCTACGATCAAAATAGAGAATGTCATTATTTTATGTATATGAATGTTACTTTTGTGTGAACTTGGAAAATTTTTCACCATGTTAATTTATAAATATACACTATTAAATATACATGTTTATTTATTTTAAATGTTCCACAGTGATCATATGACCGAAATAAATAGTTGTGTATTTTATATGTAACGCATGTCCTTCTAAAGTATATATTTATAAACGAAGTTTTTGTGCACGCTGTCCTTATTTATATATCACTTGTATCACCACCATTGTATTTTTTACAATGTTCGCGTAAATTACGTAGTACAAAGTCAGTCCTCTCGCGTGTGGTCCTATATATATATTTTTTTTTTCACTTTTTTCATGTTATATGTAGATGTCTGCGGAAGTGCCATTTGTGTAAAGAAAAAGATTATATATCACGCGAAATATAAATGTTCACATCAGTATGTATATATATTCGCATCTTTACACGTTTAATTTCATTGGGATTGCGATATACTGTGCGAGTAGCGTATAATGTAAAATCTTACATAGATATACCCTTTTATATACTCAGAGAAAAGAAAACATCAGCAAGTATTTATAAATCTGAACGGTGCTCAAGCGTTCCTTCGTGAAACGTAAATGACAATATAAGATAAAAGCGCGATAATGTATTTTATAAAAACCGGTTAAAGAACGCGTCGTTATTCAACTGTCTTCAGAATCGGGAAGAAATAAACGAAAAAAAAAAACATTCTATTCCTAAAGATTTATAAATTATATAATGATTATTTCATGCGCGGGAATTATCGTGATCAAGAAAGTGCGTTTCATATTGTTGATTCGGAAAGGCCGATTCAGACGTAACTCAAGTTACACGTACGCGAACTACCGTTTCGCGTATTCCGATGCAAACGACGTTTCAGCATCGTTCGTTCTCTCACTCGTCGCCTCCGCGGCCGTCATTGCCAGCCGCCACCGGGCGACGATGTCCGTTTAATGACCGGCCCGGCCACCGTGTTCCAGGTACAGTCCTCTGGCGGGTGACCTTCTCGCGAACTCGATGCTGCCCGGTAACACGATGAACGGCGCCGGCTGGTGCATCTTCGTGTACAACCTCGCGCCTGAGACCGAGGAAAATGTGCTCTGGCAGCTGTTCGGACCCTTCGGCGCCGTCCAATCGGTCAAGGTCATACGCGACCTACAGACGAACAAGTGCAAGGGCTTCGGGTTCGTGACGATGACCAATTACGAGGAGGCGGTGGTGGCCATACAGAGCCTGAACGGCTACACCCTGGGCAACCGCGTGCTCCAGGTCAGCTTCAAGACGAACAAGAGCAAGGCGGCGTAGGACGAGCAACAGGCGGCAGCGGCGGCGGTGGCTGCAGCTGCGGCCGCGGCGGCGGACGCGGCGGCGGCAGCGGCGCCCTATCATCATCGTCGTCATCGGCTGCTACGTACCGCGGCGGTGGTACAGCTACCGGTGCCGGTGCCGGCGGGTCACCTCTACAACAAGCGGGGTCCCGGCCAGGTGCCGGGCGGCATTGGCAACAATAACATCAACAGTCACATCGGAATCGGCGGTGCCGGCGGCGGCATCCTTCATGGAGGGATCAAGGGCCAACGGCAGCCGTTCCTTCAGCGCTTACCGTCGCGCATACACGATCTCACTCGGGCAATCGAGATGGCCGTCTCGGGAGCGGCGAATACGGCAACGCAGCAGCAGCAACAGCAACAGCAGCGTCAGCACGCGCAAGCCAAGCAGACCTCCTTGAAGAACAAACCCAACAACAAAAGTCAGGCCGGCAGCAAAAAGCTCCAGCAGAGCGAGAAAGTGTAATTGCAAGGAGTGTGTGAGAGAGAAAGATGGAGAAACTGAGCGTATGTGTGCCTGCGTTCGTGTGCGTATGTGTGTGCGTGAGAGAGAGAAAGAGAGAAAACGGTTGAAGAGAGAAGAAATGAAGGAAACAGAAAGAAGGCCGCGCGAGAGATAATTAGAAAGAAGTAGGTTAGATCGTTCGACTGTCCGATATGTAATCGTGGACTGTGCTTGTGGAAAGCTCGAAGAAAAATAACGGGGAGGGGGGTAGAAAAAAATGATGCGACATTAACGAGTCCTCTCGTGTCCTCTCATTCCCCTTTTTTTTCCTCGCTGCGCTCTTCCTCTTTCGAGTTTTTGTCCTTGCGTTCAGTCGTAAATTGAAGGCGAAAAGAAGACACGCGCGAATGAGAGACAATCGTCTCTCTGACACGAACTGACACAAGCAAAATCGTAAGAGATTTGACAAGGAGGACGAGAGATCGAAGTTGCGTTTTTTGCCTTCGTCTTGCGCCTCTCCACATCATGCCACGAGGTGTTGAGTAGGAAGTATCGTTCCTAGTTACAAAGGTATAAATTTTCTTGAGCAGATAACGCGCAAAGTTGATAAGAGGATAACACGAAAAGATCAGTTAAAGAAAAGCCGAACCAGAGGTCATATTAGATTGACTCGTACAGTGTTCTATCCGCGGATATTCGTTCTTGTATGTATACATATTGCCGATTTATATGTATATGTACGCGAAGCTGTCCGCGTGTGTAAACAGGACGACAGGACAGTAAGAGCTCGAAGCTCGATTTCTCGAAGAGGAAGGCCGAGGATCGAGGTATGAAAGCGAGGAAGAAAGGCAGAGAGAGAGAGAGAGAGAAAAAAAAGGACTTTCCCTTCGATTAGCATTTGACGATGCGTCGAGAGCCTCCGCCGGGCATTTCGGCCGATCTTTCTTTATTTTTTTTTTTTTCTACTTAATGTACATCCATGACCGGGTTAGTCACGACGATATCGGGCTGTGAGACTGAATCACACACACATCAGACACGCAATTAATATACACATACACATACACTTGCACGTACAAGTAGAACGATCACCAAAACGCGCGGTGTCAAGAACGGCGGGCTGTCGTGAAAAAGAATATATATTTCGGGACGCGCTCACACGAGATAAAACTCGTCGAAATGCAGGAGAAAGAGAGCGGATGGGTGGGAGAGAAAGGGAGAGAGTGAAAGAGCAAGAGAGATAGAAGAAGGAGAGAAAGATAGAGGGGAGTATAAAAGAATGAAACCTCAGAGAAACACTCACACACAGTGCTTAGTAGTAGGTGGTTATACATACTCGTTTTATGTATAAGTTTTAGAGTATTAGCGTCGTGTGGATGAGAACGGGAGAGAAACAGATGGGGAGTACGGTGAGGGTACGAACGAAGTGCGAAGGCGTGGAAATAGGAGATATCGGGAAGAGGGGGGGAATTGGATAAAAAGGGTAAAATCGATTTCGAGGGTAAAAGAATGCGAAGCGCGCGGGAGCCGCATGGTAATCGAGAGAGGAAAAAAAAAAGGAAATTAAAGGTATTGTGGGGCAGGGCTCGCACTCACGTGTTCGTACGATCGCACGGAGGAGATTTCAGAGCGTGCGGGCACAATGTGTACCTTAATGTAACCCCGTAAGTTTAATTAGGATGTTACCGTTTGACCGAGCATCGATGTATGAACGTACTTATTCTCGGGCGAGGCGGCTTCCCGGGTGATCGCGAGCAGTGACTCTTGGGGCTCGATATAGATAGATAGATAGAGAGGGAGAGAGTACGGCCTGATGGATCGCAAAGCGCGATCTAACCGCGTACTATAATAACCGTTACACTTCGTGCTAGTCAGTACTCAGGTGGTCTCCATTGCCGCGCATACGTGTCGATGATACGCGCGTATAATGTGTCTCTTTCGTTTTCCTTTTTTCTTTTTTTTTTTTTTATATAAGACGTATTTATTAGGTAGTAAAAATGTGCTTTCGCAGGATCGGATTCTCTAATTCTCGACAATTCTCCGCGAGGATGCACCGTCCGAGAGGAAATTTTACGAAATATTACGTAGTTTCGCGATCATCGAGCCTTTTTCAGCCCTTTACGAGAGATTTCGTAAATATCGTGAACAAATAAGAACAACGGGTTTCTTGTCTGATTAAAAAAAAGAATCAAGTATTTAATCTTTGCATATGTAAATACATGTGCAACTTTTACATTTCACGGTACGTGAGACGTCGGATAATCATTCAGAGCGCGTGGTCGCTCGAGTTAGTTTAGTTTTAACACTTTTTGTCGTTGATTGCACGTTTCGTCGCTTTTGGAAAAGATTCTTGAATATTGAAGATAACACACACATCAATAAATACGACGAGAACAAATAATATCATTCTGAGAACGAAGAAATGAATGTTGCAATATCCTTCATTTTACCTTTGCGTCATTGATATTGTTTCCATTTCAAAATATAGATATTACATGAAATAATTGTACACTTTGAAGAAACGCGAATTGGACCTCTGTAGAACTTTGAAATTCTGGAAGAGAAAATTGATTTCTTCCGTTTCTGCATGTACTTCGAGGACGGTGTATGCGACCGGTATGTGATACGGATTAATGACAAGGTTGATTGACGTTCGATCTCAGGTCAGATTAAGAAATCACGTATCTAGTCTACGTGCAAAGCTACCGCGTCGTCGGTGCGGTTTTCGCGTGTAAGGAAAGATAAAGAAAGGACAGATATCATTGGTGAAACGCCGGGAAATTGAGGGCGGACGCAACGACGAGCGCGGCTAACGATAAGTGGAACGGCGCGAAGCAGGCGAGCCGGATTCCTCACGCTCGTTTCGCGCGATTATCGGTGCCATTCTTTCGAACAACGACGGATCGATTCGGTTTATTGCAACTATGATTGTATCGCAGACCAAATCCCGAAACGATTTTCCGTAGCTGTACGAGTAGCTCGCCACTTTGGCGGAGTCGTTGTCCCAAGGAGACTTTACACGACCGCAGCTCAAGGAGTTGACTCTCCACAATTGTAAGTAGTTTAGAAATCGCTTTCCTGAGGTGATTCTCTCTCTGACTGCGCGCAGAGATCATGTTACCAAAGTGATTTTCCGCACCCGCTTCCGTCACTTTACCCGAGTGATCTCTCACAAAGTGCAAAGACAGCGATCCCTGTTCCGCGATCACAAATTTTCTCGTGATAACTTCTAAACGGAGAACGGTCTATGGATCTGTGAATGGCGCGAGGCGAGCATGAGGACTCGGAACGCGCATACTTAATTGCGAGT